ATCTTCTTCTCCTCTGAGGTGGACCACTCTCACTTGTCATTCCAACCCTTTTCTTTGTTTCCCCCAACCTCTCCATTGCTCGTTCCCTCATCTCCAATGCCTGCTCTCGTTCATTCTCGATCCTCTGACTTCTTGCTGCACACTCTGTTTCCATCTGCCGATCGGTCTCGTCCTCAATATTGATTAGTTCTTCCATCAGTTTTTCATACTCCGTCATTTTTCACCACCTTCCCCTGTAGCTCGCTCTTCTTTAGCCATTTGGGCGCGATATTTCTTTGCCGCCAAACTGTAGTGCTCTCTGACCCCCCTCAAAGTGACTGCCTGACCCAAAGTACTGACATTATCAGCTACACTTTGCCAACCCAGACCACGTTCTCTTGACCTTTGCTTATGTGTCAGAACACCTAGAGCTGCCACTTCCTTCAAAAGTATTAGGTCTTTGTCTTTTGACCACACCATGCTGGACCTAAAAAATATTTTACACTTTCAACTGAAATTTTAATTTATTACTTAAGCAGTAGTGAGCAAACTATGGGCGATATTGCTGAATAAATAACCAACACTTGGGGCACAGTGGGAGCTAAGTGCATTGGCATATTAAGCTGTATGTATATTGAATAAAATTTATTAAATTGTGCAGAGCTTTGATGTGTGTACAATACCTCTTGTTTGGGCAATCCTTCTTGTCTTCCATAGAGCAAATGGCACTTACTCAAAATAATGCTGAAAAAAAGACAAACGAAATTAGGAAATGTTGTGTCAAGAGTGAACAAATTATACTCTGCCTGTATGAATATACGTAAAAACGTATACAATCTTTTTGAAAATCATGTTAAATGTTGAACAAAACCATGAAACGTCAACTGTTTTAAAACCACAAAGTCCACAATTCACAAACGATGAACATTATTAGTTATTGATGATTGTAAATGCGTGTATCTTTAAAACCATTCTGATCTGATAGTTATAGTCCTGTGTAAAAAGTGTTTATCTCGATTCTCGATCTACTAAAAACACTGTGAATAAAATTACGCAAAATGTGCATAATTTTGTATGCTAATTAGTACATAATATTCAAAATAATGATAAAATAGTTGCTACCGCAAATTATTTTAAAATCATTTGTGTACGTACCTTTTTGATGCAAAAAACCCCCCAAAAAACCCGACGTCCTAAACACAACGTGAAAATTTGATTTTAGCGTCCTGAAACCTGACGAGACGACGTCGTCAACAAAACAACGCCAAATTTTCGCGCCATATTACGCGATCTTACGTACTCTTGACGTTCCCGTCCTCAATCTAAATCTGTTTAATAATTGGGGGAGGACATATTCAATTGCTGCCGCAGCGAGCGAGCCTGAAGCGAAAGAGCCAGGCAGCATATCCTAATTTACAATTGGAGGTAAAAATCAACATTTGTCTTTAACGCATTCCATGACAGTACCAGTGGCAGGGACGGTTAGCATATTTTATTTATTTTTTGGGGAGAGGGCTTAATTCAAAAAGTTGATTAAAATAAAATGGATTAAAAGCCATCAAAAATATAAAAATTTGCGAACCACTATCATACAAAATGCAACCCAGAAATATGAATACAGTCCATATAGTCTATACTCCGGGTTCGGCACGCCGAGAAAAATTGAGTAGTTTCTTTCACGGGCGAGCAGCAATTTGTCAACTTTATTTCTACATGTTTGTATACATGCATTCGTCATGTATTTTAGGGGTCATAACATTCCATGTTTTTTATATTAGAATAAATTTCCTTTGACGCATTGTATTAGGGTGCCAGTAGATTCTGGATATAAACGATACATAATACTTTTCATCACAACAAACTAGACATCGGGTGAAACCTCACACTATGGTCTGCCACCTTCGTCTTGAATATTCAACAAACTTATTATTCTTTTGGAGATTCCTAATGTTGCAGACGCAAGAGATGTACTTCAGGATAACGAATTGGAAATAATAATGTTTATGATCTATCGATCCTTCGAAAACGTGCGGAAAATCTAATAAAGCAGGCGACATAACAACGCGTGAATGCGCCAATGACCAGCGGAAATATAGCAACTGATAATGGAATTTTGGAATACGCTTTCTATGAAACCACGTAAATATAGTATCAAAATTTTCTTCAGAACGAAAGGATGATTCAGTTAGAATCTACACACATAACCCGTGATGAAAACCATATTATTCTAGAGATCTATATCTGAAAACGTCAATGAACCATCTTAAGAAACATTCGCCGTCTATCGTATCGACAACATCAACGCCCAAGGTATTTTTGCCAATACATGTTCATCGATTCACCCGGGATCCGGTTATTGCAACAGGGGAAATTTAAAACGAGAAACCAAAAACCCGAGAAGCATTCAAGTAAATTATAGAATAGCCTATTGAAAATATCGTCAGGATTCAAACATCTTTTACCGAAGTCACATCTATTCTTATCAACAACGTTTCTCATGGAAATAACCCTGTTCTTCGCCCATTACTAGAAACTTATTTTAACCCTCAATCCAACACAAAGCTGTATCTCAATGAGACCAACACAACACGTCAATAATATTTATCCGACATTAAGGCTTCATCAACAACTTTACTCATCAACACACATCACATCTCTAATACTTCCAAATTATGATTATTCGGCGCTGTGAAGTTGCTTGAAGCAATAAAAAACCCGTGTAATTCCACGCCATGCATGCATGCCATGCAAATTTAAATCTGATACAAAATGAATGTAGTTGTGTTTTCCGAAGCACGCTTTAATTCGTCTTATTCCAATATTTATCTTCATAGTTATTTCAAATTGAAGCAATTTCCGCTGTTTTTCGATAATCCCAGTCTAGTTTATCTTTAAAAAAGTAATTGAAATAGCACCGGGGCTAAAATGCACAACGGATTAAATGACGATTTTTTGGCAAGAAAAATCGTCGAAACGAAAAACAAGTTCATCGTAGCCTAGGTCTCAACTTAGTCCTAAGACAGTTTTAATAATGTAACGGGTTATCATTTCGAAGTAATAATGTCATCTACCACTGATACTATAAATCAATATTTTCTCGGATGAAATGATTTATCTTACATCTTTATTGTAATATATTGCGTTTCGTCTTTTAAAAATTGGTTAATAATATGTTTTATAGTTGCCATTTAGGGAATATTGGCTACTAGTCAATCAAAATACGATTTTTAAGAATCTTGTAATGACTATGCTTTCTGGATCAAGATCAAATGACAAAAGGCAGATGAAATCAGTATGATTACTAGCGAGAGCTGGTGTGGAAGCTGATTTATACAGGTTCAGATTTATGTAACCATTGTTAAATCAGAATTATTGTTTGCTACTTCAGCGAATACCTGACTATTGTGAAAAGCGTATTCATTTCGCTTCTTTATCTCCTTAAGTATAACCTTAACGGTAATGCAATACACTTTGCAAAGCAAACGAAAATTATTTATTTGCCTGGGAGTTGCAGTATTGCGCTGTTTCTAAGAGTGAGGGGTTTAAACTAATTTTGATGATAATTTATTAGGTATTGAGTCCAACGATTTTAAGAGAAGTTATTTAACTTTCTGCAGTAATATAATTTTAGGCTGCAATGACTAGCAATAACTATATAATTGTGTATTAAAATAACCTGATCAAGAGCCGCATTCTTATACACGCATTAACGTTCCTGTGCTCCTTGTTATAAACCTTCGAAGCTAATTGAGATTTTATTTAAAACAATGAGTTATTATTGCACCTTAGATATCGATTATAACTCGAAATAAAAAAGGTGCTTTGCTTAATATTGTAATTAAGAAATTACAAGTGAACAAGTAAGGCCACAGGCACGTAGCCAGGGGGAGACTAGGGAACTATAAAATATACGGTTAAACAAAGTGCTTGATCTGGGGCAAGTCAGAATGTAAATTGCAATTGTATTAGATACACGCTTTTGCATTTGTTTGTTTCATTTTACATGAAATCACAGTCCCTTAAAGGTCAAGTTATTGCAGGTTTTTAAAGCGCTCGAAGAACCGAAATAGGTCTACTGCCAGCCTTTACTAATTAAATCAAGCGGGGAAATGAAATCTCAGTCTGGTTTTAAAATATTTATCACGTGTCATTAACTAAACCCGGGTGGAAACTTTCTATTTAATTGAAAAATACTTTCGGATGGGATGAAATTTGACCCTCCCACCCTATTTAAGGTCTGGCAATGTCCTTGCAAAGGCGTTGTTTGGAAGCCTTTCATGTTAATGAGAATCATTGTGTCCAGAGTAGGAATGATGGTAGCTTCTCGCTACAATAATATTTACATCTTATTAGTAGATGACGTCATTTTGACAGTATACAGGGTGAGTAAAAAAAAAGTACCCCTTATTGAAATGAAGCCTTTGTTGATTTGAATGCATGATCAACGCAGTAGTGTGTAAATAGCATAGTTATTAGGTTGAGGCATTCAAATAAAGCGTCTTGCTTTCAATTGGGTTTATCATAATATTAAGGCAATCAGATTCTAACAAAGGCTTGATTTCAATAGAGGGAACTTTTTTCTGACTCACCCTGTATAACGATTAACGTGTCGTGAATGTACTCTCTTGATTAGCCTACTTTCATTTAAAACCCAAGTGGGGATAATTACGATAAATTACAAATATGCAAGTGCTAGCCAGCGAATTCTAAATCTTTTTTCTTTATGTCAGGGAAATAGTTTACTTCACAAAAATTTTTAGTTCAGAAATGATATTTATTAGGGCTTGGGCCGCGCATAGAATTTTAAGGGCCTGGGGAATTAAGACGTAAATAAGCCAAAAATACACTAATTATATATCCGAGAAAGCCTTCAAATGCATGAAGAACATCGATGCAATTTTCAATCATTTGATGCTGCCTACCTATATTTATTTGGAAAATCTGATTTTGTGAAAAAGTGTTCCTCAGGTAATTTTCTATGTGCTATTAAAAGTATAAACAGCTTTGTGCCTGTGATAACATTAGCGATCCATAAATTTTATCGCTAGAACGAACAAAAATGTCTGATTTGATGATAAAAAGATACATTCAATATTGTACTTACGAATACATTCAGTTTCACTTGAAGGAATCTCTTCAGCGCAAGCACATTTGCAAGATCCTTCCATGTTGACGCATTTTTCTCGATTTAAATTACAGCCACAATACGGATGTGATTGGCATTCATTAATATCTGAAAGAACGATTTGAAAAATCATACATATTGACTATCGTAAAAATATGATTAATGATTTCATACAAAAACATGGCTCGAAAATTGAACTTTCATTAATTCCGCCCGAATATTAGGACATACTCCTGGGTATTGCGACAAGGCTTAGCGTAATCGAAAATCGTCAGAATTTTGTGTCATCGATTTCATCGAAAATCTTTGAAAAGTTTTGATGACTTAAAATTCAAGCATAACTTTACTGCACTTTTATTTAAACCCTGCCGGAGGACCTATAATAGTTGACCCATTTTCCCATCAACTGTTCCTGGCTTGAATTTGAAGTGTGTATAATCCACCTCCAAATTAAGACCCTTTAAACCTCTATCATTTCGCATAGTTAAATCCTACTTAACTCACAAATACACGACTCTGATTCGATAATTCTGTCCTGAACTGCAGGTAAAAGTTAACCAGTCTTTTATACAACTGGCCCCAGATGTTGTTTGCGAATATGCGAAATTCACGCCATCAGGCTCTTCCAAGAGCCAGAAATTCTCAATAGAACATAAATGAAATATATAATTTAGATATTTAAAAGTCCTTTTAAAACATTAAGTTTCAGACATGGCATATTTTGATTAATAAATCGACCTTCAAATAAAAAAGACAGACATGTCAACCATAATTAACAATAGACAAGAAGTATATGCTTAAACGATAAACACAACAATTTACACTTAAAACGAAACGTTTCATGGTTGCTTTCCATTTCCCGTGGGACAATCCAATTCATACGCCATTAGAAAAGAGATACACAAAATCCGGTATGTAAATAGCCCGTTTATACCAGAGACGGATCATCCGTTTAGACGAACTTGGGATAGTTCGTCTAAAGGTAAATAATTTGGCTGTGTGCAAACACTTTCAAACAGGCGAGTAATTCGTCACATGAGTTATATCCGCATAGTTCTAATATTTAGACGAATTTGAATGGGTAGTTCACTATATACACTGAAATCATACTTTATTGAGCAGTCCTAATATGGGAAATTCCTGTTAAAGTAAATCAGATAATTTTTACTTCGACATTCGCAGCTGGATAGAAAATTAAGGACACAAATGAGGGTAGTTGCGAGGTTAACTACAGATGTTGACGAGGAAGAAGATTGAATAACTAATTACGCACGAAAAATACGTACCAAGACATGTCGTTCCATTGGAATAGAAACCTTTTTTACATATACATTTGTAAGAACCTGGGGTGTTGTTGCACGAGATTGAAAAGGCTGGATTACATGGGGATGACAAACATTCATCATTATCTAAATGAAATGGTTAAAGGAAAATATATTAATAAACACCAAACTGGATTGAAGGAATGATAAATACTGCCTGCCTAAATACTACGCTATGGGACGAGATCTTTTACAATATTGTACTACCCTTCTTAAATGTTTGCATCTCTGTCATGCTTGTTGATACTCCTATTTTAACTATTTCAATATGAATATATCTGAACATAATAAAGCCTTGCGTAACAACTTGAAGAGCTGCTCAATTTAAACTTATCCAATTATTCTGAATGGATCAAGGTAATCTGCAGCAGCTGCAAAAAGCCTTTAAAGTATCATTTTGGTAAATTAATGGTTCGAATATACCAAAAAAATCTGAAACAACAAATACAATTATTTCATTCTTTGCTAATTTTGTTTTGTATCGAAGTTCAAGTATTCTTAATTGCGTATAACAAGCGATATTTTGATATTTTACCAGTTACTCATATAAATAACAGCAAGCTTTGATTCGGCTTCAATTGAGATAGCGCTAATGTTATCGCTTTCATCATTAGAAGAGTTCGCTTTGTAACAACTCACTGATCGCATCAGAGCAATTCTTGGCTGCTCTCCCTAATCTTTGCTATAGTTACTGCTCTTTTTGTAGTAATAATAAATATTTAATGTCCACATGCAGTAAATGCCCGCGCTTGAACGTCACTCTTTTGCATGGCAATTTTGAGGCTTAGGTAAAACTGCGTATAATCATGTAATTGTTTGCGACGGATGTCTTTTGTAAGTGCAATAGCTTAGAAAAGAAATCCGCGGACAAGACTGGATTTATGAATAAACAAATATGATCGTTCTAGTTTCGACCGTGAAAATCTTTAAGCTTTTTAAATAGCAGGAAAAAGTTTGGATTAAAAAAACATATGAAAATTGAATTATGAACCGCCAAAACCTTGTGACGTTATTTGTTTTAGGATGGTAGTAAAGTCAGGCAAAATTATAGAGATAAGCCCGACAGAGATCTATATAATATTTGTCCTAGCTGAGAGGCAAACAGCCGTGGAATAACAAATCATGGTTGTCTATATTTTCAATATCAGCCCTTGGATAATATCGCTTTTTACACGCAAAAAAACTCTGAGCCTGCGGTTTATCTGCATGGAGCAATGTTGTGCTGCCATTATTGTTCACACTTGTCAACAACATTGAACAGTATCGTTGAAACTGAATCGGGTGTGACAATATTGTTCAATGTTGATATCAACTCTGAACCGCGTGTGGAAGCACAACATTGCTCCATTCTGTTCATGCATATCAATATTGCATCAACCTGATCTTTTTCAGGCGTGTAGGTGAAATATACGGAGCATTAGCGAAATTTAGCAAACACCTCGTGACGCGTAAGGCACCGTAAAAATGGCGTCAATATGCCGTAACCATAACCAATATAGATGCGTATCCAGGCTATTTTTGCGACGTCCTAGGCGTCGCGTGTTGTTTGCTAAACTACCCTTATATGTGACCTTCCACGGGAAAACATACGTTAACGCTATTTCGTTCGTTCGAAAATATCGTTCGTTATCCGTTCGTTTGCCGTTCAAACGCTTGAAGCGTTCGTTGAAACGATTTTCGAGATCGTTCATCGTTCGAAATTGCCCGTTCGAACGCTTAGGAAAAAACGTTTGAAAATTGGTCCGAAAGCGTTCAACCGTTTGATTTACCGTTCGTTGAAACGTTTGCCGGAATTTCGTTCAATCGCATTGGATTTGGTTCAACATATGCTACAACTTTGTAGAAGAAGCGCAGAATGTGCTACACAGAAATACTCCCAGAAACGTATTCAGTTCCTTAGTATTGAAGGCTTGTAAAGGAAATAGTGGGGTTATATCAATCTAGCCTAATCGAATGCTATTTTGTGCGCTTCATGTTATGGTTTATGCTTAGCGTCATGCAGACAGAAGGCTATTAAGATTCAGTGCATGCAATTATTCCATTAGCGTCAAATTTCACGTCTTAAGCTTTCTCTCAAAAAATTATCGTTTTTTGAATTTCGGTAATGCACTAAATTGTTAGAATTTGTGCTTTACTATACTTCTGTAGCTTCCATAAGCCAAATTTCACCGCGCACCCAAACAACTCGCAAGCCATATATTAGCATTACGAGCCATAATATGCCTTGGCAAGGTGCTAATTAAGTTGCATAATTGTCGGAAGTCTCTAAATGTATGTAAACAGACAAAACCAGATTTTAAAACGAATTGAGGGATTTTGCGTGTTACATATTAATATCGTACTTTTAAACCATGTGTATATATAGCTAATTTATTTACATCTGATAAACTTATCTGGCCTCCGTACGAAGCAGTACTGATTAAAATCTATTCAAAATTAAGGACCGCATCCTAGGACGGACCTTTCAGCTTGAAATTCGTTGTCTTTAATGCAGTCTGACATAGCTACAAATTATACAACAATTGAAATACCCTAGGTAATATTTGAAGACACAAACACAGTGACCTAACGCGCGTTCGGTAGGGTTACGACGAGAACTAAGAGATCCTCATTTATTGGAGGCCAGGATAGATAACGAAATATCATAGTATAAGCAAAACGTGATTTATGACAAACAGCGAATTAAGGGACCCCGCAGTACCAAGTATACCTCAAGACCCCATCCTCAGCTCTGTTCGTTACGCCACTGCATGAATATAATAGCAATTTAAATATGTACGTGCATCTAGTCTAAAACTAGAGCCGGAGCAACAAGATCCTCAGTGCCCCGCTTACAAAATTGTCTTATTTCCTTAAAAAGGTATCTTTTTCTCCCCAGATCTAAGCCATCTGGCTCGATCGTTGCTGGCATGTTGAACGGTGGCAATTGCATAAATATAACTTATACATGGCATAAATATAACTCATGCATTGTAAATATTTATTTAGACTCTTAATTCACAAAAAAATACTTCATATATATTGATATATGCACATTTCAGCACAATTCACTCCCCATGTATATTTTGGTTGTAATTTGATTTCTCTCGACTTGCTCCTCGAATCGGAAACGTGGAACGCGGAGAAGGCTCAAATCGTATAAATGATAGAGAACTGTATGAGAGTAATGAACCTATATCAATGATGTTCATTGTGTGACTTTTTTATTACAAAAAAAATTCCGTGTTTTGTGAGGTTGAGTTTTGCGCTATGTTTTAAAGTGCGTGCAGTCCTTCATTGCGCACAACTGGGCTGACACAAGCCCAAAGGGCAAGTTGCCAAGCTAACGTTTACAAACATTTAAGTTTGACCTTTCAGATATTTTGCCACCATATATTTCGCTATATATAATTCATCAGAAAAGGAGCATTGGAATTTATCTTGCTTGGACAACATATCAGCTGTTGGGCAACAGGAAAATTTTCACTAATTTTGATTTGGCCTCCCTTGATTAGAAATTACATTCCGGATATTAAATTGCAACTATGCATGGTCATTGCACCTTGAAGCCTGCCAGCTAGAGCGGCAAAATGAGCAAATTTGAAATGGCGCCTGTCAACTGTTTATGCGTGCATGAGCGCGCGGGTAAAGATCTTTACCAATAATTTCGCGAAGACTGTCCCAAATATTTGCTGGATATTAGCATCTATGGAGAAGTCAAGGCGTTTTAACGCAAGCATATATAAAGGTTAATACCAGGTATGAACACTAAATGAAACATTAGCTATGATATAAGGAAAGTCATGACTTGGCCACTTTATTAGGCGCGCTTGCAATTATTTTCCTCCAAGCATTGAAATCAGGCTTATTGATGAGATCATCAACAGAATTCGTATAACGGTTCTCTTGTTTTAAACTAAAGTGTTTTTTTTCCTTGAGTGTATTTGCTTGGCTAAACTGTAGCTCTCTATTGATCATGCATATATATCGAAATATGACACGCATTCGAAGTAAGATTTCATATAGATGATCATGCAATTGTATACAACAAGACGTTCTCAATTGCATTTTATGTATATGTTAACGCGAGTAAAATGTATTCGGATATAAATGCGCACTGCAATATACCTCTTTAGATTGCTTATCATGGCCGGTGGAATCAAGTTGGGCCACGATCATCCAATCATTCCGAATAAACATGACATGAAAGGTTGCCAGACCTTGAAAATGGCTTGGCTGAGGTTAGAAAAGTTGTTAGCTTGGGCCGTGGTGGTTACAATTTATAGGATGCATTTACTTACATTGAAACAACAATTGTTTACAAACTTTGCTGACATTTTTCATAAAAAAGGGGTAGATGCTACTTCGAAATATATATAATTATATGATATAAAAAGATTTCGCCAGACAAAATGGATTAATGCTTTCATGCATGTCTTAAATAATCTTGATTAGTTAATTTTACTGTAAGCAGGAGGCACAAATTGTGTCACAAGTAGATGTCTCGAAGATGTTGAGGATCGTTTGTTTCTCAAAATGGTGAGTATAAACTCCCCTGTGCATGCATTTGGCATTGTCGTTTCTATATGGGCGGCAGCATTGCTATATGCTTTGCAGAAAAAATTATTTGCACTCTTTGTGATTTAAAAACCTGGTTTCTATATGGGCGTCTGCTATTGCTATATGCTTTAGTGAAAATACTGTGCAATCTTTTCTTGCTGCCGGGGTTGAGTATTAAGTTGTTTTGCAGGGCGGAACTGAATTCGGACCTTCGGGATTGCGGATTGCCGCGGTGGTTTGAAATGAAGATTTCAAAAATTATCCCATTAATTTACGCGCGTTCTATTTCTTTAGGTCACTATTGTTAGGCTCATGCAGGTAGCATAGGTATTTACACAGTTACCTATGTAGATGGTCGAATATTTGGGGAAAATAAAATATTTCCTGATGAATATGACCACCAGGAATTTAGTTAGCTAATTTAATATCACAAGTAACACATGCATATGTGGTCGTATGGTCACAAAACATATCACTTACATGAAAAAATATGGCGGCAGAAATAGGGACATTGCAGCTTTAGCTTTGCGAAGAAAATATGGCGATGGTGCATGCAGTGGATAAAATAGATTATTATCAAATTTTTAAATATTCTTAAGGTGTAATGATGCCCTTAGTTGCTACTGACAGTACTGTGTATAGGCGACATTCCGCGACAAGCTTGACCGCAGCTAGAGGCTATTGCCGCACGGAACATATTGTGAGCACTAGGTAAATATCCAAGCTTATATTTTAAATATTTTATTACCGCGCAATGCATTGCTGAAATTGAAATGTGGATTTTCACGTGCATAAATGGTTGGGATATTTAATGTAGTAGGCTATTTATACCAAATAAGTTTTGACAGCATGCAAGCACACGTTACTACGCTGGTTCGTATACAAACGAGCTTTGCGTATGCGATATTCTGTATAACTGTTATTAATGTCTGGTTATCATCTGTAAACAACTTGATCCTTGCGATAATTAATTTAGTCGTTTGCGCGTCAAAGAGTATAAGCAATAGTGTACACTGGAATCTCTTGTGTTTAGTTTAACATAAAATATGTATCCAGTAGCTGAAACTCAACCAAACTTAGACGGTGACCAATGACATTGCCTATGATATTATTATCGAAGCCAGGCCATTTATGGCAATCTTCGTTTACTCTCGGTTTAGAGTCGTGTTAATAAAACGGATGCATGCATGATGTGTTTATATGTCCTTAACCACCCATACATATAGTTTGTCCGTGGAGAGATTTACAAAATCTGTTACGTTGTTGCAAATAAACACGCGCTGAATATTTTGATGGGTATAGTTGCAGATGATGCATTGATTAATTTGACGTAACGATGATAATTTGTACTAATAACTGAAGGCTTTCTAACGATTAATAAACCCGAATTTTGATGCAAAATGCAAATGTATATATGTATATAAAGTATAAAATAATGTGATTTAGGTAGTTTAGCTAATAAATTTAGTTAAACATTCAAATGAAGGTATAGCTATTTATATGTACACGCATACTTGCGCCAACACATGTTACGTGTTTGAAAATATTTCCTATTCTTTTAATTAGTCAATAATATCTTGCGTCAATCATACGCGCAACAGGCGTTCAGACTAATTCGTTAAAACCGTTCATAAACATAAATCGTTCAAACGGCTTCAGATTGAACGTTTATTTATCCGTTCGTATTCTCGACTTTAAACGTTCACATTTTTAGCTGAATTCGTCAAAACGTTTTTTGGGTTCGTTGAAACGTTATTACAGATCGTTCACTACCCGTTCGTTATCCGTTCGTTTTGCCGTTTCAACGAAATATCGTTAACGTACGTTTTCCCGTGGAAGGTCACATATTTCATACATGACGTGAAAAAATTTTTAGATTCATTTATTATATACCTTTGCAAGCTTGTCCGTTATATTTGAAACCCTTATCACAATGACAAATTTCTGAGCCATTTGTGTTAGAACAATGGCCGTGAATACATGACATTTTTGTGCATTTTCCTGCCAAAGAAAAAAAAAACTCCATAAATTTAGTATTCTAGGGAAAAAGTTTTAAATATGCAAAATTTGTTTAATTTAGCTGCTAACAGCAGCGTAGCGCTTTAGCAGAGTAGCGCTAACAATCTTTCTTGCTATCAACAAATCAAATTGATATTTTGGTGAACCAGCATGGTTAGGTTTTCACTTTAATAATGCTAATTGCTCAGCTTTTAAATCTTCACACCTCAAATTACATGAATCATCAAGATACCTAAAAATTTACGACATCAGCGCCCAAAGTTAATAGCGTATTTATAGATGTGTCTAAATTATGTAAAATCGCAGCATAGCAGCAAATAATGATGTGCGAGTTCTTAAACATCACATTGCCGTTTCATTGACGTAAAGTTCACTGCTGGAAATAATGGGAAAGAATCGTTAGTCTACAGGCACAAAATTAAGCCCAATTTATACCACGTGAATTTTTGGCACCGGCCGCTTAGAATTGGGCACGAGGACCAATGGCACGAGAAACTCAAATAGGTAGTTTCGGCCCGTATAAACAGTGTTTGGCCGACTAAAACAATGTTTGGCTTCTTTTTTCAGTAATCTGGCAACCCTGTTTTAAATTTGTACGCCAGTAAAATAATAGCCGTAATTAACTATAAATCTGAGTGAAATTGCTTGAAAGCTCGCTGTAAAATATCCACTCGTAACATCTCCACCTTAAGATGAAATTAATAGTGTCAGCAATGTGTCTGCTTTCCTTGGCTGTATGTTCGTCCGAATGCATTTTTGTAGTACTGTATGATTTGCGCGTAAATTTATAATTAAAACAAATGAATAACAATACCATGAAGTCATGTGACCAAAACAATGAACCGATTTGACGTCCGAAGCCCACAGTTAAACAGATTTATAGAAGTTTCTTGTTTGCGAGACAAACTTTGTGAAACCAGCCATTGAGGTAGGATGGATTTTTTAAGGGTGGAACTCGTTAGCGAAATTTTAAGAATAAGTTAAATTTTTACATTCCTTGGTCATATGCCCAATAAAATACTTGATTTCAGAAGCTAAAGATCAAAGAATTTTTTTAGACTCGCAATTAAAATACCACATCAAAATATTGGGCTTTACTCGATCTTTATGTTTATGCGAACTTTGCCAAAGGAACGGAATCCTGAAATCTGAACCTGTATCATAGAGCCACAGGAAAAACTATTTGGTGCTACAGCGTCTAATTACAGTGTCCTGTTAAACAAGTCCGAGATTTCGCTGCTTTGTCACGCATTAATCTGAAGACGTAAATTTCACTAGTTTATGCCTGGTTAACACGAATAGTCCAGACTTATATCCAGACGTAAAAACACGTACGTATAAAACACGTTTTGAGAAAGGTTCTTGATCGAAATCCATGCACCGGTGAAAAGCACAAACTTGAACAACGCCGGTTCGAAATTAATGAACAGTATTAATTCCTGCCATGCATTAGATATTATGGTAGGTAGGCCCTTGACAAGGTTGCGATCCGTACCCTTGATATAGAATGGACTAATATTGCTAGTTCACCATCAGTAAACGGAATATGTATATTCGTGCATAATACGTAGACAGTCGGATGTGAAAAGGTTGTTGATCCGTACGTGCCATCGGCATCGAATGGTCGGTTAGGTTACTATGAGTGAACATGCACACTCTGTCCATTCATAACAGGTACACAGAATAGCGTGTAACTAAGGTAAACTAGAGCCGACCCTTAAAAACGTTCAGAACGAGAAATATTGCATTTTGTTATCAAAAGTGCGTGTGTTGAACATAGTTAAATTATAAATTGCTCGTATTTTTCATGAGAACGGGAATACATATAACTATCGTATTGATAGACATAACTTGCGTATTATATATTGTAGTGACATTTTGCGGATTATACTGTATTTTGGGAACTCCGATCGAAATATACGAGAATACAAGCGATATGGCATTACAATATGTGCTTCACATCACTTTTAACCCAAGAACCCTGAGAAATATAGGTATTACCCCCCCTGAACTGATCTGTCCTATGAACCTGCTGTGGCTTTTATACCTTGTGCTGAAGCACACGAACAGGTAAGCTTCAGGTAGGCAAATATCTTCATCTTTTTACCCTTTCCTTTTTGTTTTTTCAATCTCTCTAGACACTTAAATATATTTTAGACCATATCTATTCATCACAAGCGAAAAAGATCTCAATCTCGCGACTCTACCCACCGATCTTCGAAGTTTAAAAAATCCCCCCACGAAACAGATCAGTCAAATAATAACAAAATTAGCCAGGAAATGCTGCGGCAACTTTGCACTATCTCATATATAGTTTCTGATCTCAAATCTAACACGGAGGTGTGTAATAAAAGAATTTCACAGCTTGAACATGCCATGGTTTGCGAAAATATTACACATTCTCATTTTGAAAATCTAGCAGATCCCGAGCGGGACGATGACACAATTTCGATTTTTGCGGGAAACGACAATCCCTTGAACTGCGAGGACTTTGAGGCTATTGAGCCACCAGAGCAGACTATTAAGCCGCCAGAACAGACTATTAAGCCTTTCAACTCTACTACACATCAAAAAGCTTGTCTCAATACCGAGGATATACGTGGAGAAATGACAAATCAACAAACACTGGAACATAGTAAATCCACCGAGGGTCAATCAAGTTTTTAAGACCCCGAATCCGTTACGACCTCGTGGTCAGCATCTTCAGAATTTAACGACTTTCTGCAAAAGAATTTTGGAAAGAAATAATCCTTTGATCACATTTGTGATTTCCCCAAGACGATGCACTTGTTGCTCCTACTCTAGATCTTGCAATGTTAACTCACATTTCTTATCAAGACAAAAAGTTCGTTCAGGAGCGAGATAAAGAGCTCGCAGTGGTCCAACGCGCCATGTTAAATATCACAGGTGCATTATGCACATTGTATTACCGTTTAGAGAATAACATTCCTGTTTCCCCTACATATCTCAAATTACTTGTTAAGCAATCACTATGTCTTGTAGCTTCGGCTAACACGCAATTATCCATACTGCGCCGCAAGAAGGTATTAACGTCAACTAATAAATCAAAAGTGGATTTGGCAAACCAAATACCAAAAGGTTGCTTTTTGGACCTGACTTTCCCACCATTCCATGTGGAGAAACCGAATTATCGTGGGGCTTGGCAAAAAACCTGGTACCCACGGCCCCCCGATTATATAACCAAGACTTTAAACATTCAAGCAGAAGTTTTCCCTTGTCAGGAAAATACAAAACTTGAAACAAGCCGTGTCGGTTTTTTCGTCCTTCCCCAGTCTCATTTCAAACGACCGCAAAATTAGCAAGCGGCTTCAAACAGTAGCAAAGTCTGACAGCAATCTGACATCTATCAATTCAAATCTCTCCCTTTTGGCCTCAACAAAGCTCCAATGATCTTCACTCGGTTAATGAAACCGATTGCGAATTATTCAAGGAAACGAGGCTTTCTGCTAATAGTTTTCCTCGACGATATGTTTATCATCGGGGCAACACAGGAGGAGACAAACCGATTTACAGTTATTGGGGTCCCTGGGACTCATAGAAAATCAAGAAGAATCCATCCTGTCTCCGACTCAAGTAATCCATATCTAGTGGTTCATAATCAACTCGAACATAATGATCATCTCCCTACCTGAGAAAAAGATAAACAAAATGCTAGTACTTTGTCAACAATTGCTGAAAGCGGAGAAACATACATTAAGGAGCATAGCTCAACTATTTGGTTTGCTAGAATCTTACCGCCCAGCAATTTGGAAAGCTCCTCTTCATTTTCGTTTTCTTCAAGCTTTACTTATCCGCAACCTGCACAGCTCAAAATACAATAACAAAGTGAAAGTGTATCTTCCGGACAAAAACAAAGAGCGGAAGTCCAGTGGTGGCTTCGAAATATGACGACCATCAATAGCAGCCCGATTATGATACCACCCCCGGATGTAACAATTTTTTCCGATGCCTTGGAACAGGGATGGGGAGCAGTCAGCAGCACCAATCATACAAACGGGAAATGATCAGTCACCGAGAGGTTGTTATATATAAATATACTCGAGTAGAAGGCTGCTTTTCTTGGCCTGAAGCCCCTCTTGAAGAACAGTCGTGCAAGGACGGTGTCAATGAACATGGACAATTCTACCGGCGTTGCCTACATAAAGAACAAGGGCGGCATCCAATCGTTACAGTTACTGGAGCTGACATTACAACTTTGGGATTGGTGCAATCAGAGAGACCTTTTTTTCATAGCCCATCACTTTCCGGGAAAGACCAACATTCAATCAGACCTCAAGTCAAGACAATTTCTGGACAACAGCGACTGGATGGTCGATCCTAAAATTTTGAGACCGTTCCTGAAAGACTGTCGAACGGACCACTTTGCGTCTCGACTAACACGTCAACTGAAAAATTACATCAGTTGGAGACCGGACCCAGAGGCCCAACATTGGGATGCTTCACGATCAACTGGAAAGGACTTGCGGGATATGCCTTCCCACCGTTCAACTTACTCCCTATGGTCCTCAAAAACGTTGTGTCGGACCAAACAGAGATCGTCTCAATAGCGCCAATTTGGCAACCCCATGCAGCCTTGGTTGCCCTTACTAATCAGCCTTCTCGTCGAACAGCCGATATCCTGCCAAACAACAAACATCTCGTGATAAATCCATCCGCCCCATCGATTCATCCGATGTGTCCACGTCTCCATCTAGGCGTATTTCACATCTCGTTGCCTTGACTTTTCCAAAAAGAGTCTCATCCCTCTCTGATTTAGACCTCAATCACTGCAAGCTTTCTCCAGAGGTTCTAGCTTTTACTTTATTTACCGCAAAGACTTGACCGGATGAGGCCGTTTCGGCATTTTATACTTGTTTTCCAGATGACCGTAGGTAATGACAGTGGCATGTTTTAAACATTACATTTCAACGACGGCGGAGTTTAGGGAAACTTCAAAAGACCAACCCGATAAGCGGTTCCTTTCATTTATTAAACCTCATAAACCAGTCAGTTCAGCAACGCTTGCTCGCTGGATTCGTTCAATGCTGGGTCAGGCTGGTATAGATACAAAAATCTTCAAAGCGCATTCAGTAAGGGGAGCAGCAACTTTAGCAGCTGCCAACGGATCTGTTCCCTTAGATGAGATACTGAAGATGGCTGACTGCAATAAAGAGTCCACTTTTTGACAGTTCTATTACAGACCTATGGTATCGACACCAAATTCTGGTCGTGTTGTGTTAAATTGATCATAATAAAGTCTTTAGACTGATATTTTTTGTACGGAGAGAAATAAAGCAAGTTTAAATTATATACAATTTACTGTTGTAGTGTTGAACTCTACCGCTTGTATTCTCATATATTTCGACCGCAGTTCCCGAAATATAATTCGAGTTTACAAGGGCTGTTCCAGCCTGCGAGTACAACTTCGGTTATATGAGGGAACGAAAGGAGAAATATATGATCCATCCCTTTACCCCTCCATTGTTCATGCAGGGTTATATAAGCCACAGCAGGTTCATGGGACAGGTCAGTTCAGAGGGGTAATACCTATGTTTTTTTGGATTCTTCGGTTAAAAAGTGATGTGAAGCACAGATTAGTATGCCATACCGCTTGTGTTCTCATATATTTCTTCCTTCGTTCCCTCATATAACCGAAATTATACTTGCTGCCTGGAATAGCCCTTGTATAAATCGAACTTCATCGAAAAGGCCTTTGCTTTGGATAGTTCGCTGATATCCCATACATGTTATTTTGTGAACAACGAGGAATATTACACCACATAAATATATTGATAGGACAATCTTTTGTGCTTTAATGAGAGCTGTTGTTGTTAGTGACGTGAAGTTTTGTGATGCATGTCCCTATTCAGAAAATAAAAACATCGTATATTTTCATGAAATTTCCGCATTTTCTGAAAAAGCCTGTGTTTAGTATAGTTCTCTTGTATATTATCGTATTTTTCATTCTATTGTATTGATAGGCATATTTTGGTATTGGATACTGTATATTTTTGTGAGATATATTGCGGAATAGTAGCATATGTAGAATCTTACGCGTTTTTCCTAAGAACGAGGAATGTAACATATAATATTTATATAGGTTCATGAGTGGTATCTGCTGTTGCATTAAAAACACTGCATTTTTTGACGAACGTTTTGTGATTTTTTATGCTTCTATTGCGCGAAAGAGAGTTTTTATTGCATGCATATGTGGCCGTATTGTTTTTTCCTCTTGTATTTTGCATTTATATCTTGCTCATTCTGTTGAGAAGAAGGAAGTAAATAAAGTTTGACTGAATACGTTACGAAGACAGTTTTTTGTGGGGCAGTTCTGATTGAATTAATCCGCAGTGCCTAAACAATTCCGCATAATTTTCTGTAATGTTCAACAGGGCAAACAACAACATCGCAAGCCATATCTTGATTATATCATAACAACTGCATTGTCAGATGCTTTGCCTTAGAGAAAGAGCTATGGCTCAGATTTATTATAAAAATCTAAATTGTCGTATATCCGTGTATATAAACAAAAACCAAAATAAATTGAGGGGTTTTCATTTCATAAAAGCTATATATGAAACTACAAAATGCTGCGTCTGTGAGAGCGAGGAAATTATTTTTTCGACGGAAGATTTACTCTAATTTCTGTTTTGTAGTTTCCTTACCGAAAAGCGAATTCAAAAAGTGAACCTTACACGAACATTTACCAGAATGTACGAACTTACCTTCAGGTTGTCGATCTTTGTCTACGACGAGAAACTTTCTCACGACGAAGATTTTTGGTAACGGAATATAACGAGATATATTTCTGCTGGTGACATTCATTTTTATGAAAATGGGTGAACTTCTTTCTTTCCAGTAAAGAAAATCTCCAACACCGTCCGCTGACATCCGTTGGTATCGATCAGCTGAACTATAATTAGTTGTCTGATTGCTGTTACGGCCATCGTAATCCATTTCAATTATGACATTAACTTTTGCCCATCCCTCGTACGCGTACACTCGCTTCCTGTTGTAATCCAGAGCCAGATAGTAATCCTTATTTCTGTTGAAACCATATAATTATTTGTTTTTCCTTTTTAGTAGCCAAGTGTCTTCGCATCACCTTTCCTCCATAATACTCAGTCCAAAATAAATATCTACAGTGAACAACAATACAGAATTGAAATTATTATTAAAACTGGTTCAAAGTCAGACGTATATATAATCTGGGATATTGCTATTTAAGGGAACAGCGTGATGAAAGCAGCAACAAATACAACAAATAATTTAATTATTGACAGACATACGCCCGTATTCCAAAGGTTCACTAACACTCAAACTCATTGAGTCGGAGTTCTCAATCTTCTAATAACGTTTTAATGCCGGTATTTTCATTTTTCAGTCGAATACGATCCAGCTTAATCCTCACCTTGGATTTTTCCATTGACCAAAAAAATGTTCTCATTGATCATGAAGTAATAACAAAATTTCTATATCATTCTCAATGAGTGTGCGGGAGTCTTTGAATACAGGCGATAGACTTGCAATTGATTTCCGCGAATACCGCGTTCAAGGTGCTGCAAAGCTTAATCGTTCTAAGAAATGTTTCTCTTTATGTCGAAGTTTGTATTTCATGCCAGATTTATCGCTCTACATACAGGCGAGATCGCTTATTACAAACCACTAAAATAAAAATTAAACAATCAGCGGAGAATATCTGCAGACGAAAACACTGCGCATGCCGACTCCTTTATATTGTGCGGAATCCCTTTTCCATTCGAGCTATTTGAAGTAGTGCTTTCATGCTCTGCTGACGGGCTTCCTTTTCACGCCTAAAAACGATCAGGTTTATGCAGTATTGATGTGAACAGGATTGAAAAATGTTGTGCTGCCCACATTGTTCAGAGTTGTTATCAACATTGAACAATATTGTTACACGACAAGTGTAAACAATAATGGAAGCACAACATTGTTACATGTTGATAAACCGCAGGCTCAGAGTTTTTAGCCCGGTATGATATTTTCCCAATTTCCAGTTTCCAAATTTAACCCGCGTTGAGCCGTAGATCTGGGCTGGAAACTATGACATACTCTTTCATTCCTATAGAGGGGATATGAAAGAGTAATTTAAACGCGATTTTGATAGACATCGCTTGTGGTTATGTCAGAATCCCATGAGGTGATAATACTGCCTTGTACCTCATCCTTATTGTTATTTGAACTTGAGCATTGCGCTCTTTTGCTGTGATAGCGTTACCAAAACAAAGACGTTTCATACGTCCTATGACATGGCCGGAATTGTGAGAAATTAACAGCACTTACATTATTGTCGAAAATTAACCTAACAAAAAACGCGGTAAACCTATATGTCAAACTAAATTGTGAGGCTGGCTACACCACTGAATGAATTTAGGGGAAAAAAGTTATAGTTTTCCTCTGCTGATCACTGCACATCATGTGTAACTGATTATTTAGTCTAAGTTCTCGCAAAAAATTTAGTGGCATTCATGGACAGAAATGAACACCAATGTACAGAACCGCCTCCGACTGATCAAACAAGTACATTATCCCCTTTAAAAGACCAGTTGCTAGAGTCTGTAGCTGACATGGTATATGAGAAGATGTCACAGATGCGAGATGATATGTTAAAGCACTTCGAAGATTACGTTGGCGGAACTGAGGCGTGTAATCACCCTGATGAACAAACTAGTCAACAACAACAGGTCGAGCCCCAAGACACTGATATGATACAGAATTATCTTAATGCATGAGCCGAACACCGCTGACACATCTAGTTCGTTTGACGACCTTGCTGCTGAAAAAACAAGGCCAGCGATTGACGAGAAATTGGCGAAACTCATAAGCGAGCTTGTGTCAGATTGATTACCCAAGGCTAAACGGGAAGAGCTCAAAAGTATCTGCGACCTGAAAATTACGATTCACTCGTCGCTGCAAAAGTCAACAAGTTTGTCTGGCAGCAACTTAAACAAGCCACCCGAACAGCGGGCAGTTCCATGAAAAAGTGCCAAATATTATTTATCTTCTCAATTTATGTTATTACTCAATCTTGCGATAAAACAACGCGAGAAGTTATGCCCTTGTTCTCGCTTTGTCTGGCAACAGAGAGTTGAATCTTGTTTGGGGATGATGCTGATAAAGAAATTGATGAAGTCGCAAAGGCTAATAAACTCGAAACAAAACTCTCTGGTTCCCGTAAGGGACGTCGATAGAGATTTCACCCTTACCCGTCATTTCTACCGAAATGATCAAGTCATACAACCTCAATGAGAGGCAACAGTGGAAAGAATTACAATCAACGACTTTCTATCCTTCAGTCTTTTTTCGGCGACAGAGACTCGTATCGGCGAAGACCAGACGCGAAGTTCAGTTCCACCCAGAACAAGCCGAATCAGAGTTAATTCCACTCGCTCCGCCACAGGTCAATACTTTCGCTATAATAACTGAATTGTTTTCTGAACAGCCAGCGTTTGTAGCTGGGCAATGGCAAGGAATTACGTCAGATGCATTTGTCTTAAGTTTTTCTAAGCAGTTGTAAAGTTGAATTTGATTACGACACCTCAGCAACAAGTTTTAATCGGGAATACAAATTTTTGATTCTTGAACAACAAGCTATTGATAAAAAAGTTATTGATTTTTTATCTGAAAACAAAATTCAGGAAACGCCTTCTGAGAGTGGTGGGGCTTTTCCCCAATTTTTATTCGGCCTAAAAAGGAGCCAGAAAAATTTCAAGTGATTTTTAACCTTAAAAGACTTAATGAGGCTGTCACTTGACGCAAGTTCAAAATGGACACTTTGGAAATAGCTTTCAAACTCATGAAACCTGGCTGTTTCATGACCGCTATTGATTTACGCCACGCTTACTATTCTGTGCCCATAATACCGTCCGATAGAAAATACCTTAAATTATCTTGCAGAGGGAAACTTCATCAATTTACTTCTTTACCGATGCGACTATTGAACACACTGTGATCAAAATTTGGTCACTCTTGTCTCGGTTACATTCATGACTCCATTTACATTGAAGATTCTCTCCGGTTGCTCAAAGGTGTTACTTTTAATGCAGCTCAGTTATTTGTCCAACTAGGTTTTGTACCAGTTCATTCTAAGTCGGTATTTCAACCAACGCAAACTTTGGAATTTTGGGGATTTTTATTAAACTCCACTACATTGACTGTTTTGCTCACGGCGAAGAAAATTATAAAATTACTGCTCTTTGTGTATAATTATCAAAGCTTCCCGAAGTTACAATTCGACAGTTACCTTCTATTATTGGATCTTGTCTCTACATTTTCTGGAGTTGGATTTGTAGCGTTAAACTATATAGCACTAGAGCGTGATAAGACCTTAGCATTATGACACTCACACGGGGATTTTGGTTTCTATCACAGGCCAGTATTAATGAAATTAAGTGCTGGGTATCTTCCCTACAACTGCATCTAGGATTATTGATCATGGCATCCCGGCTCATTTGATTATGACAACTGATGCCTCACATATAAGTTCGGGAGCCATTGTTAACGAAACTAGGACACAAGGGCTGTGGTCCGCACACGAAATGAATTTCATATTAACGTTTTAGAACTTCTGGCGATAAAGTTTGTGTTAACATCACTTCTTGATAGCACCTGTGAAACGCATATCCGAATTCAATCAGATAATACAACAGACGTCGCATATTAAAAACGCAAATAAAACGGGAGGATGCAAAAATTTCAAATCTATAGAGTGTGACAATGTTAATAAAGATATTTGGCTATGGGCCATGATAGCTCGCAATAATTGGTTATCGGTCGCGTTCACTCCGAGTCCAGGCAAACAAAATACTGTTGCTGATTAACTTTCACGAGAATTTAACGCAGCATTAGAATGCACTTTACATCTTACTTATTTGAGTAGGACTTATTTGAGTAGAACTTTGAAGCTAAGGAAGCCCAAATCTACAAAATTACTAATTTCTTTGGTGAAACCACGTGGTCCTAAAGCATCTGGGTTTTTCATTGGTCTCTGTGTTTCGGAAATTCTATAACAAACCTATTATTGATAATAATGTATTCAAAATTCTGTGTTACAATAGAATGTCCGAGTTTTGCACTTTTCTAGGCTGTGTCCACAATTGTTAAAGTCTCATGTTAACCGGAAGTACGTAACTATACGGTTTAGTAGAATTATCATCAAACTTCAACTTAAGGTAAATCTCGTTTAATTTTCAATTTATTACCTCATAAAACACTCGAATTATCATTTGTCGTGGATATTACTCAAGAATCATTATATGAAGACCTCGTCGCTGTCTTAAAGTAAAAAAATCAGGACGATTTGATCGATAAATTCGAAAGTATGTCCATGCTACACATATGCTATTAATGATTTTCTATATATAGATATGTTCACGGAAGATTATATACTTTGCTCTAGAAGATTATTTACTGATAATACAGGCTTGTTTCTGCCTGTACATAGCAATACATACTATATAAAACAAATGCAGGTAAGATGACTGTTTAAGTTAAATAATTTCTAGCAGACATGTTTTTTTTAATTTAACGCATCAATATTCAGTCCAGTGGCTTGCTCACACTTTGGTATTACACGATTGGTCTGTTGTCTTCTATCGCTTCCGATCAAATGATTTAAATCTCACAACGGCCCATATGATCTGACAAGAGTATAATCCTTAGCACTTAGGTGATTGTTGAAATGTTACTGCACTTCAATTCAACCATAGGCATACCGTAAATGATCGATTAAGCGC